GACAGATGTATACGATGGATGGGGATGGCGTGCAATTCAGGGTGGGCTTGAACGGAGACGAGGAGGTGAGTTTGGGATTACAGACATCGACGTTCATGAGCTTGATCAACGGTTCGTCTCTTTGCCGTGCGGACTTGTTCTCCAATTCAACATTGATTGGTACGTCAGAACATTGTTCCTTTATCGCACATATCCATTGAGCTTCTACAGGTTTCAGTCGACAAAACGCGATTGTCATTCAACAGGAGCATTCTATGTCGTGATGTGCAATAACCCACGGGCCATCAGATACGCAGTCGAAGAAACGTTTCTCGTCATGGTTCTCCCCGGTCCACACGAGCCCAACCTGGCTCAGCTCAACAATCTTATGCAGATATTTACCAATAGCATGATCCGCCTCACCGACGGTATCGAGTTTTCTGTACACGGACAACAAGAGCTCGAAGTAGGTCTTAAGGTACAAAAGACGCGAAACGACAAGACTCCTGACAAAATTGAGGGACTCGTGTTCTCCTCGTTCCCAAAGAAAGTCAACCTTCGCCGTATGGATCTCTCCCTTTACGACCTCGTCTATGATTATCTTCAACAGCATTGGTACAATGACATCAACCTTCTTGTCAGCACAGACACGAGCCGGAACGGGCACGTGTTTGACGGCGCTGCAGTATCGTACCCCTACATCTGTTTTCAGTCTCTTCGCTATGGCGCAGCTGACCACTTTCGAGGTGAATCGGCAAGGTATGCTTACATTGATCAACGCGTACCTGTGGAGATACAATATCTCTTCCACGTCAAGCTAGAGCGACGATACCGTTCTACACTCACTGCGACGCTAGCCGTTGTCCGAAGGTTTGTTGCTGCTGATGCTCGTATTCAATTTCCCTGGGTAATGTGGTGAGCATTCATTCACTTGTCTGCCATCAGTAGCTAACGTTTGGCCAGGGCAAATGATCTTGGTGTTGCTGCCTGGACTGCCGATCAGTTTGCACCACTGGAAGTCATCAACATAACACGCCTGTCAGGACACCTGGTGCACGCGCCGATTAAGCTCGGACGTCATAAACTATGGATTACCGTTGCATATGATCATGGCAGTCCAGAGGCAGACATTCCATCTCAGGATGACATGTAGAAACCAGGTGAGCACTTGGCCCTTGTTTCTTTTTTCTATGTTCGCTTACTGACACTGAGAAGTAGACCAAGCACCGCCAGCGGGCCTATACAAATTGAGGTACAAGATCTACTGTACCTACTTGTCCGTGTCATGAAATTTTATCCTACTCCTCGCCTTCTTCAACTGCCTCCTCACACTCCTCAACTGCCTCCTCGCCCTCTTCGACCGCCTCCTCGCCTTCTTCAACTGCCTCCTCACACTCCTCGACTGCCTCCTCGTACTCCTCGCCCATCTGCTGGTATTGCTCACCCACCTGCTCGCACTCCTCGCCCGCCTGTTCGTACTCCTCGCCCATCTGCTGGTATTGCTCACCCACCTGCTCGTACTCCTCGCCCGCCTGTTGGTATTGTTTGCCGTCGTATTCTTGGTACATATCCCAGTTGTCGCCATCTTCCTCATCGCCGTCTGCGCCGATGGTCTCCTTCTCGTAGACTGGGTCACCGTCCTCCCTGTATGGTGGGCATTCCTCCTTCGTCCAATCAATACGCTTGTCAGGAGATTTGATGCCACGCTCCGTGAGATAAGTTTGACACAAAGCCCAGAGCGGTATCTTCTTCCCCTTGCCCAGGTTTGGCAGGTTGACGTCACGAGGAGGGCCGCGAACCCTGTCCTGGGGCGCTGCTCCTTTGTTGCTAGTCGACTTGCCAAGTCGACTCAGCTTGATCTTGACTTGGATGATATCGTCGGACTCGAATGTTGCTCTGCGAACCACCAAAGGTCCGTCAGCCTTGTAGCAATCGTCACGGGTGGGTGCAGCCTCATCGTCGTCGCTGTCGATGATATGCCGCACACCGGTTTTCTTTGCTGCTTTTCTCGATACGCCGACAGGAGTGTCGCTCTCTTCTTCGCTCTGGAACTGAATGCAGCACGCGACGTCGAAGTCATCGTCGATCAGAGTCTCTGATTCGCGTCGTCCCTTACTGCGCTTGCCTTGCTTCTGAGTTCTTCGTGCCCTGCGACGAGTATCTCGATTGCGGTACCATTGCTTCACGTCCTCCTCATCGCTATTGTCGTCTTCTTCCTTGTGCTTGTTAACATACTGTCCCTTCCAGTTGCGGAACGAGGTGATTAGTCTCTTCGCATATTCGGCCCTTGTCTTGCCAACCAAAGACTGCGCGCCGCCAACAACATATTTCCAGAGGTTCTGTTCGATGTGGTCGAGCATTTCATCGTGCCACTCCGAGTTTTCCGTGTACGACTTGGTGAAATCGGGAACAATCCGGTCACCGTCTCTGAAAGTGCCATCGGGTAAGGGCGAAATCGAATACAGGGCAGAGCTGTCGGTTAACCCAAGTTTTGCGATGAAGCACTTCCTAATACCATTCTAGGTTTTGCTTGAGCATAGGCGTTTCGTCATGGGACAAAAGATTGCTTACCATTATCTCGTTGTCAGAATCAACTCCCACGCATCGCTCCTTCAAAAAGTTCACTTCTTCTTGAAGGCTGCGGACAGTATCTTCGCTCGCGTCCATCCTCTTGGTGAGTTCGGTTCCAACTTCAACGCTCTTCTTCACGGCTACCTCAAGCACGGTGACTCTCTCCACCAGGTTGCTTGTTGTCTCTCGCCCCGCGGTGACCTCTGTCTTCACCCGGTGGACCATATCCCCGAGCTTGTGCAGTTCCGCTGAATGACCACTGATTTGATCGGTGAGCTGATGCGGGATCAGCACAGGCGTGCGAGAGGGAACCATCAACGGCCCAGGAGGAGCCATTGACGGTGCGCGGGAAGGAGCCATTGATGGTGCACGGGAGGGAGTCATCGACGGCACGCGGGAGGGAGGGGCATGTGGAGCCTTTGACGGCCCAGGAGGAGCCTTAGATGCCCCAGGAGGAGCCTTTGACAGCCCGGGAGGAGCCTTCGACGGTGCACGAGATGGGGCCGCAGATGGCGCACGAGGCGGGGCCATGGAAGACTTCCCATGCGAAGGCAGTGCAGGAGAAGACACTTGTGGTGGACCACGCATGCCTAGCGGAGCATACTCCACCGGTGCTGGAACAGTGGCTGTGCGTATGTGCGTTGGCGGAGGCAGCATGGTCTTGGGCATCTGATGCTCTAAGTTCTCCAGACCAGGATCGATAGCAATGCTTGCCTGTTAAACGGTGAGCCAAGACCTCTATCAACATGTGCATTTACTCACATCTACAGTTTCAGGAACAGAGACGGAGGCAACAAGCGTAGTAGAAGAAGATGACGATAGCATGCGTGTGCGAGACGGGCTGGCAGACGGGCGGGGAGGGTGCTCGGGCATACTTGCAAGCACTCGAGCCATGGCCTCATCACCGGTGAGTGTCCTTTGACTTGCATCGTCCTGCGGTAACGGTTTTTTGAAGGGCATTTTGAACCCTTGAGATGATCCCGATGATCCTTCGGCTTTGGGCTTCTTCGACTGACTCGACAATCCACTCCCTTTGTCCTCCCGCTGTCTTTTCTGACCTGGCTGAACACTGGCGCTTTCCCCATCATAAGCTCCAGACCGCACAATCGGTATGACTCCTCCTCGTCCTCGGCCGGTTCCTCCTCTCACCCCACGTGTTGCTCCCCCTCTTCCCCCTCTTGTCCCCGCCGCCTGCCCTCGTACGGCCGTGCCATGCGGCCTAGCGCGTGGAACCTGATTGGGGTTCTGCATGAGCAGGTCAGTGCCAGCCGCTGGTGCCTCTGTTGTTTTGCTGGGCCCCTGCGGCAGACAGTAAGGTTTTTTTGGTTGATTTTGGGTCGGATCGAGTGCTGATTCTTGTTTTTGCTAAGGATTACAGAGCGGGACAACGTGCACCAAGTGCACTGGGCCCAAAGCCGATGACATCTTTGTCATGGACGGGGTTCTCTGCCTCTCTGGGGTTTGGAATGCACTTCGATGGCGGGTGATCGCGAGCAAGCCCAAGAGTATTTTATCTAGCTCCCTTATCAGATCTCCCCCATCCCTTCCTTCCTTCCTCCCGTCATCGATGCTCCCCAGATGCTCACCGGCTCCATCCCCCAGCATGCCCCTCAAGAACATTTACCTCAATGGAGACACGGTCATGCTCAACATGGCTGACGATTCGTCTTCTCCCATTGGCGCCAACCACGGGGACTTCATGTTCACCCATCAGATCCGGTGTGCAGGTCATCATTCTAGAGATCTGGTAAGTTATAGGACTTGATATGACTAGATCTAACCTTTTCTACAGAGGATTATCATCAAACAGTACAGGACCGAAGCAGAGCTCGAGCGAGAACAAGCCGCGTTGAGGACAAAGCCGTACTTCGGCGAATCAATGGTAGAGTAAGTCATCTCTTCTGATCTTGAGACAAGGTGACGCATATACCCAGGCGCGTCCGGCAAAGTGTTGCTCTCGCCGACAACCTCACATACCTGATCCCTGAGCCTGTCGACATCCGCTTCCACCGCCATGCCGCCCCTAACGCCCTTTATTGCATCACCCCAAGGCCTATTGGCGAGTATATACCTAGCTTCCAGCGCACCACCGAGTCTTTTCGCGCTGTCTTGGACCGAGTCAAGAGGGAACGAGCAGAGCTGGAGGCAGCCGAGGCAAGTGGGACCAACAACGACAGCGGCAACGAAGAGGCGCCAGAGGCCAAGCGGGCTCGTTTGACATCGACGCCTGTCGAGGTAAGCTATCATTTCACTTGCCAACATCGACTTATCTCATCCTTCTCAGAATGTCGACGAAGGGTCGTCTTACCAAGCGGGCATTGCAAGGCAAGTCCGCTATGTCCTCTACAGGACTGTGTATGCTAAAATTACTTCTAATTAGTGACACTCAGGAGAGCGCGTCTACTTCACCGGAAGGCACCACGTTCGTATCTTACGCAGACGAAGTCCTCGCCCGATGTCTCGAGTGTTCTAAGGTTCATCCTAAGGATCGTCGCTCCTTCGAATTCTGCTCCTGCTCCGGCGAAGATACTCTTGAGCCCGGTCCTGACGCATGAATTTGTTAATTCAGCGCACTTTTTGAGGCGCCGCTTCAGTCCTGCTGTATGTTTTGCTAGTGATCCGTCTGTGCTATGTTTGTATTTGGTAGTGCACTGCATGTATTTGTTATGTTTGGAATTCAGTGCCATTTCCCCGTTTAAATCGGATGTGATTCGATCCTCTCATCAATGGCCCGAATGATCCGAATGTGACCAGATATGAAAAGCCGATGAGATCAACGCCATCCAAAATAGGAGACTCAGAATGGATCAACGCCATCCGAAATAGGAGACTCAGAATGTACAGACTAGGCAATTATGCAGACTCATTCGGTCTTTACCCGCTCATGGTGAACGTATCATAGAGCAGTGAGGGAATTGTATAAGGCGGCTAGTGAGGTGCTGATTGTAGGTCTATACGCAACGCACTAGCCGGCTTGCAGTAGGTGGACGCGTGT